GTCTTACTGTGTATAATCATGTGTTTCACGTTTATATTTTCTTCTTTATCTTCCCAGTTGAAGATTTCTTCAGAAGCATGTCGCTTAATTTGTGTGAATGTTATTTTGTTTTCTTRTTTCTTAAGTTTAAAGTGGCTCCATTTGTTTGCGAAAAGGTAARGAGGAACTSTTMGATGCTATAAAATAGTATMATATTRRAGTGTCAGGGTTAATTGGTTAATAAAATYAAAATAACATAAACCTTAATAGACAATTTTGGGTCTTTACAGGATTTTTTCTGAGGATATTTTTCTTTCTCACTGGGTATGTCCTCAACTGAACATTTTCGTAGTGCTGTAGTGTRTCCACTCCAYGCTTGCAACATAAGCCAGTAACAATTTGAATMTGGAGGATTTTCTCCATCGCATAGAAATATGTGAGCTTCTTGTTTAATACGAATAGATAGTGGAATTTCAAAATTTGTATTATTTATTTCTAAAACTGGAATATATTTTAAAAGTTTACTTTTCTTCTGTCTAGTTTCTTCCGTCATTTCTATATTTATTTCTGAAAAAATTAATGTTATTTTCACTCACTAAATTAAAAGAAGTTCTACCTTCCCATCTTTCATCTAAAACAACTTTATTAAAATTTGCTTCCAGAGAGTTTTTTACCATCCAAGGCGGTTTTATGAAATCAAAAGTATTTCTATCGTTTTTTTCGATTGTACAATCAAAATTATTGTTGGATGTGGACGGAATAAATTGCGAACGTGAACCTGAAATGTAAAAATTTTCGTGTTTTTGCAAGCAATTTTGAATTTATACTAGTGCGAAAAAATATATAATTTTTAAGTTTGTTTAACAGCAATGAGCCTTTAGATTTTGAGCTTAATCACACTATTTTTTATTATAAGAACTTTATTATTACCTGAATAAAGCGTTTCTTTTATGGGTTCTTTTACCCAACTTAATGCGAAAGAACTATTGGTTACGCAGTAAACATTATTGTCGTAATATTTTTTAGTTACAAAATAATCATTTTGTCCTTTTGATTTTGAAAACCAAATAATGAGACAAACATAAAACACACTAAAACACAAAATTGAGCTTTAGAAAACGCCGCAATTACATATTTATACTCACCTTTTTCGATACATGGTTTAAAGTTCACACACGATAGTCTCAATGTTGAATTTTATTATAACAAACTGAAATGCGTTATGTCACTAATTTTCCTTCTTTCTAAAACTAATATGAGTTTTCCCGGTTGACACAGTTCTGATAAAAACTGATAAAATAAATGTAAATAAAACGGATTTATAAAAATATTTTTCCTCATCCCAACCCAAGTGAACTTTTATTCTCCTGTTTTTGATTAAAAATCTGGTAATTTATCTCTAGGGAATAAAATAAATGAAATACTGATGTTTACTCTTTAAATAAACTTGCAATTGAATGATCTAAAACAGAGATATAGTTTAAAAAATTAAAATGATAATGCCAAAGCAAAATTTTTGTACTTGTAACAAGAAATGAAGAAAAATTGACATACGAGTATAAAAAAAAATTAGTATTGAACAATTTTCATTTAGGTTATTTGATTAAAGCAAAGTAGAAAATTAAGAAAACGAGTAAGTATACAGAGTGAATATAAAGTACGGACCTAAGCGTTTTTTTTAAATCGTTTGCCTTCAGAAAAAAATAATTAATAAAAAGTAAAATAATATGAAAAATGTGATCGTATTTTGATAACAAAATTTTGTTTTCTTTTTAAGTTATGCGATTTTTTTTGTCAAAATAACAATTTTTTTTTGTTTAATTGAAGATAAAATAGATAGCTGTAATACTTAGNTTAAGCGATTTTTTTTGTCAAAATCGCAATTTTTTGTAAAAAAAAATTTTGAAAAAATTAAATATAAAGTAGATAGTTGTAATTTTTAAATTATAATGTTCATGAGAAAAATGGTTTCATAGTGGGTTGCCATTAAAAAAAAATTGTAGAACTCAAAAACAAAAAAAAATTTCAAAAAATTTTATGCTTGATTGACATTAGGAACAATTGTATAGTACTTTATCATTCATCAATTATTAATTTTTACAAAAATTAGTTAGTTTAAGCAAAAAACACAATTACTCTTGCCACCATGATCAACTCTTATGTCAACCGGTGATTAATAATCTCGACAGTCGCTACTTTTTCAGCTAAACTATAAATTAACACACGTTTTGAATTTCAAGACAAAGTAAAAAAAAACTTTATTCAATTACTTTATTTAGCTACATTTCAATAATTAAGCTGCATTTAATTAAAATTAGAATAAAGCTCAAATTCGCCAACATAAGCCATTGCGGCTTTATACAAGAAAACAAATTGTTCCTCTTTTTCGACGAATTGTTTCCTATTATGTCTCACAATTCTCACAGCTTGGCAAACGTCACAAACTTGCTCTAATTTAATTTTTTCCAAAATAAACGACATGGAGACGTACAAACCCGACGCAAGAGCCCCATCACTAAAAAAAAACATCAATCTCAATTATATACACCGTGTGTCTCAAAAACAATTCTGAGACATTGCATTTTTCCATCTCTTACAAGCACGTGACGATGACTTGATCAGACTGTCTAGAAATAGCATAAGATTCTTCCCAAAAAGCCAAAAAACTTTCGATTTTGTCCGGACAGCTGTTTATAGCGGGCCAGTTTTTAAATGAAACAATTTCAATCACTTTGTGGTCCTTAAACTTGGTTTTTGAATTTTTTCTTTAAAAAAAAAATACGTACTGTATTGTTTTTGGCGTGCATGTGAACCGTTGTGATGTCATAGGTGTCGCAAATGAGGGTTTTGGCGTGTTTGAGTGTTAGAAAATCGACAGGTTTGAGTTGTTTGTTTTGTTCAGTGGGCCAAAAGTGGCAAGTTGTGTAATTTAGGTCGATTTCATTCAAGGAAATTATCACCGAAATGTCTTTATCGTGGACTAGACGCCAAAAATCACCAACTGTGTTTGGTAACGGTTGTTGTGTTACAATAAAACGGTTAGGGTGTTTGAAACCATCGACAGTAACCGCGTTTATGTAAATCGAAGATTCATCATCGGTGGGATAACGGGGTAAAAAGATGTAACTTCGACTATCTAAAACTGAAAATTTGAGAATTTTCCCTATTTTTTAATGGGGACTACCGGGAATAATATTCTGGAATCGATTTTTTTCTTTAACTAGGAAAGAGGTGCAATTTTCCAACATTGAGGATTTTGCTAACTCATCTTGCCAGGCTGTGTTTTTCAAATAACGCATTTGTTTCTTCACTCCTCCACTTTTCAACAATTCTTCCACTTTGTTAATTTCGTTGCATGGTATTCCGGTCCTGATACCAATCAAATAGTCCAAAATCACCAAATGGGCCAGTTTGTATTGTTCAATGTTGTCGACCATGTTAGGTCTTTGGTCTCGAAGTTTTTGAAGTGTTGCCAATATATCGACATGATTTTCACCAATAGCCATTCTTAAACAAATATCACATAAAATAATAGTACCAGTTCTGCCAACCCCAGCACTGCAATGGACAACAATCGGTGATTTGGTACTAAGTGGGATGTTTTGGAGGTTTTCCAGAAACGGGATAAGGGTTTGGGGGTAGAGAGGAACCCCATGGTCGGGCCATGACTGGAAATGGTACTGTTGGACTTCTCTGGTCGTTTTCCCATTGGTCAGTTTAAATTTTCGATGCTCGTAGTCGGCGTAGACACGATTTGAGAGACTTTCAATGGTGGTGGTACCACAATGTAGGGGTTCACCCTGGTCGGGCCAATATTTCTCAACTTTTTTCTAAATGAAAAATTTCAGTGAGAGTTAAATTGGGGTTTTGGTACCTTTTCGTTTTCATAGACATTGGCCAACATGACAATGTGGTGGACGTTTTCTTGCCATACCATTTGCCAAAAATCGGGAATTGTGGATTTTTTCGGTCCTTGGGTGGCGATATAAGCTTTCGGTATGTTGTAACCCTGAAGTGATATTTTGGTAAAAACTGTTTTTTTTACTTCTACTTACGTCAATGTAGTTGGCGTTGATGTAATCGGATTGGTTATTTGCGGTTTTCTTAAGTACTACTCTTGTGTGGTCATCTGGAATTTTAATTAATTTGAAGTAATTAATGGGAGTTAGGACTCACATGCTAGTAAATTCGTGTATCGGTTTTTGGTTTTGTTCTGGGGTGAAGCTCCACAATCCCATGGTTTGGTTTGTCCGCGAGGGAATAACTCATGTTGACGCTCAAATTCGCCATTTTTCAAAGATTCTTTAATGTAGTTTTCCAATTCGTCAAGTTTGATTCTTTTTGTGTAATTTTTTGGGTTTTTAGATAATCTTTTTAGTGGCATTTGATCTTCGAGAATATGTGAATTGGCTAAAAATGGACATGAATACAAGAACGAAAAAAAATTAAAGGAACAAAAATTTTCCTAAATTTTTTGATGATTTGTAATTCATCGAAAAGTGGTCGTATCTAGATTTTAAAAATACAATTTTTAAAATTTTTTTAGTTTTGAGATCTTTTGTACATGAAAAAAAAATCAATTTTTTGTGTTTTTGTTTTTAGTCCAGGGACGTGGGGAATTTTTTATTAGTTAAGTCACTGCATAGGCCGGATAGCATGTTTGTTTACCATTTTTTTTTCGAATTTTTTTACAATTTTGCATTATTTATTTGCTAAAAATAAAAAAATTAAACAAAATTGTTTTTTGATTTTTTTTAATTTGTAAAAACATTCAAGAAATAATAACTGCTTAATTAAAAGTTTGTAAAAAATACTGATTAATGTTTGAAAAAAAGTCAAATATATTTTTTCTATTTTTTTTCAAATGTAACTAATGTAAAATTGTAGAAAAAATCTGAGAAAAATGTTTTTCACATATTGACGAAGGGTAGACAACTGTTCCGTTAATTTTTTTTGTAAAACTTTAAGTTACTTTTTTCTCTTTTCTTTAAATCAATGTTGAGGGTGGAAAAAATATTTTCCAAAAAATTATAAAAAGAACCTTATAAGACATTTGTTCCAGTTTTTAACACTACCCTTATATTCTTTGTGTGGTCATTGGTTGCTGAGACATACTGCTGAGACGTAAAAAGAATATGAAAAAACCATATTAATGGTGAACGAACTTGCTATCCGGCCTATGCATTGACTTAACTAAAAAAATTCCTCACGTCCGTGGACCAAAAACAAAAAAAATTTCTAAAATTTTTTTGCCAAAAGATCTCAAAACTCGAAATGGAAAGCCTTGAAATGTTTTTTTTTTTAATCTAGGTACGACCATTTTAGATGAATTACAATCTTTCAAAAATCACCAAAAAATTGAGGAATTTTTTTTTCATTTAATTTTTTGGAGTAGTGTAGATTACGTACTTGTGTTGTTTCGTTGCATAAAGGAGATTAGTTTTTGTTTTAAAATATCTCTTTTGCTGGAAAATTGATAAATTTATTTTGATTTTTGTATTAGCAGTACTTACATGAAAATTGCTATCGCCAGTGGTATTAATAGCAATAAAAATAAGAGTGATAGTAGACCCAAATCTGTGCTTACTGCTGGCGTTCCTAAAGGGTTGTGATTATAAAGTGGATACAATTTGTAACTACTTTTACTGTTGTTTGTATTTATCAGTAAAAGAGATATATTGTAGCTGTTTTCACTTTTTAGAGGAAAATCCAAGTTTAGGGGGTTTACGATGTTGCTACAATTATACAAAATTTTAAATTTTTTTAGCTGTCTGTAAAATTTTGTTTGAAACTGTTGTAATTCTTTTGGATGTGAGATAGTTTCGCTGGTGTCATCTGTTTGTACCAATAAAAATAATTTAAAATCCTTGACGTTATTTCTAACTTTGGGTATTTCTATATTGATTGTAGTATTTGTAATTGAAAGTTTTGGTTCCTTTTCAAGAAATGGAATAGCCGGAGGGCTGGTATCTTCAATGTTTGCAGGAGAACCGTTTACACCATTGAAAGCTTGAATTTTGATTTTATAATGTGTTGAAGGTAGGAATTCTGTTTGGTTAATCTATAAAACGATTACTTTTTTGAAGTGTTTGTATCAGAAAACTTACAATATGGGTATAAGTGAGCTTGTGGTTGGATACTTTAAATGTTTCAACAATTTTTTTTTTATTATTAGAAGATATGGAAATATTGAAATGAGTAATATATCCATTGGACTCGTCCGGATGACACCACTTTAATTGAAGATCGTTTTCTAAAGTCCAGTCAATAGAAAGACCAAGTGGTGGTTTGGAAGCTTCTAAACTCAAAAGTAAGAGAAACAATAAATAAGATGGTTCATTTACTTGCCCGTTTTAGTCGTTGCGTTTCTTTCCATAAGTTGGCCATATTGTTTTGGTTCGAAATTTATGGCACGGATCTAAAACCAGTTATTTTGTTATAAACTCAAAAATTCAATTGTAACCAACTTGTATGAAATAGTTTTTATCGGCGTGTAAATTACTTAAAGTGTAACACTGGAAACCGGTCCATAATTTACAGGGGGATTTTGTAATATTTTTTGATATTGCATCTGCTTCGTTACTAATAAAATACGAAATTTTGTAGTGGTCCAAATCCCCAGTTGGTGGACTTGGTTCCCTCCATCTGATTGAAACAGAGCTTCCATTCTTCGAAAAAACTATAAAGTCTTTAACTCCACTTGGGGTTTCTGTTGGGGTTTTAAATCTTTTGTCTTTTGCAATGGTAAAACATTTTTTGTTTCGGCAACATTTCACTGTTAGATGATATTTTGAAAAAGGAATAATTGAGTCTGTTAGTTTAAAAGAAGTTTTTCGTGTGTTATAATCAAAATTATCTGACACGTTTTTAGTCGTACACCAATTCTCTTCACAAATTGCTGAAATTTTGATAGAAATTGGACTTTTAATTTTGTCACAATTAATAGAAGAAAAAGTTATTTGAATGGAGCGAGTATTTGGTTCGATATGTTTTAATTTTGGGCAATCTTGTTGGTTGAATGAAGCTGTAAAAAAATTGAGAGATATCAACTTTCTGTTTTTTTTAAACTTACGAGATTCGTATGTTGACTGAAACACAGTCTCTTGATGACCTTCATGTTGTGTGTTGAGAGCATAAACTGTAAAAGAATAATTTGTATTTGGAACTAAATCTTCCAAAATTACTGAAGTCTCAAGTGCTGTTTTAGATTTTGATTTTTGGAACACATTGCCTTCTTTACAACTTAAATATTTCACAATCTGCAAAAATAATATTATTTAAAGTTTTATTTATATTTCATATTAAGTACTTGGTATTTGACCACATAATGTTTGAAGCGGCCATAGATTTGAAGAGGTCGTTCCCACATTAAACTTACACTTGTGTCTGATTTATTAATTACTCTGAGTTTTTGAACTTTATCTGGAACTAAGTATTCGCAAGTATTAAAAATGTTCAGTTTTCCATAAATCTACTTGCTTCCTGCTTTAGTCCTGAAGGATAATTGTAGTTTTGGATGAATTTCCAGACTGAAATTTGTATCAGGATTTAAGCTATCTAAAGTCACTATATTATCAGACACTGTAATATAATCATTCGAAATGTTTGATTTGATCAAAGATTTTCTGAATTTGCAAGCCGTATCCTAAAACATTTTTATGTAACACTTTTTCATTTGCTTTCATTTAGTTTACAGTTTTCTTTTTGGATATAGTTACAGATGTGTTGAAAATGGCCATTTCGAGGTCTTCTTTTTGTATTGCTTAAAAGTATTTTTTAAAATAGAATTTTGTTTTACTACTATTACCTTCACAGGAAGTCGAAAATTCTGTTTTTGGTATTGTTTCGTCAAAATTTGTGTTTTTGTCTTTGACGGCAAAATATCTGACATAATATTCAGTTTCTTGTTTCAATCCTGTAATTCTAATTAGCCGTTCTTGAAAAAATTCTTTGCTTTCTAATTCAGTATCCCACAGTGTGTTGTTTGCTTCCTGTTAAGATATTGTAATTTATTCTAAATTTACAATAATTGTTTAATGCTCACCCTATATTGAAGAACGTAGGTGTAATCTGTCTTTTCTTCTCTAATTAATTCATAGTTGCTTATATACACAACAACTTCTTTATGAGAAACACTATTTATTGAAGGACGACGTACTAATCCTTTTAATGAAAATTATTTTAAATAACTTGCAAAAAATTATTTTGATTTAACATACTTATAGTGCAATTTCTTCCTCTAAATTTAGGAGGACACGAACCACATGTTCCATCAACATGGGAGCAAAACTTAGAAGGACAAGAACATTTATCTCTACATTGATGACCATAATTCCCAAAATTGCAGTCTAAAATTTTTTAATCTGTTTCATTCTTGCAAATTTTCATACAAACGCATAATATACAGGGTGTTAAAAAAGATTGTAAAACATTTAAGGAGATAAAAGTATGGACCAAAATAAACAAAAAGGTCTTAATAAAAAGTTTTCGAATGTATCGAATGTGAAAATTTTTGGATTCTTACTAAAAGCTTGTCTTTTTTGTTTGAACAGATTGAACAAATAAATGTTTAAAAAAACTAATAACTTTCGATATCTCCGAAACTGTTACTTTGGTTGTTATTAAGACTTTTCAATTTCTGTCTTATTTTACATCGTAATAAAAATTATAACACAAAAAATACATATTAAACATCACAACAAAATTATTGTAATTGTAAGATTAATTGTAAGAATATTTAAAAAAATAAGAAAAATAGCATAAAAGCTTTACAACATGAACTAAGACGTTTCAACAAAAAAATTAAATTTGAAATTGTCAAGTAGATCTTCCGAATTTCTTTATCTTTTTCATTATCTTCACCTTCTTCAGTTTTTTTCCGACATTCATAGTTTTTTTATCTGATTTTCTTGTTTTACGTTTTTTTCTTGTTATATCTTTTTCCAATTGTTAAATTACCGTTTCAGGTTTTGTTCAACCACTATTTCTCTTTTTCTTAGATAAATAATAAGTTTTTTTTCTTTATTTTTTTGTGTTGCCGGATTTTTATTATGTCATGACAATTTTTTGATTCTACTTGCGTATATTATTTGCTAATTTCACTTCTTTATTTCTCATTTTTATTAAAATAGTTTTTCTTAAGTTTTTATTTAATATAAAACACTTCAAGTGGACTTAAAATTGGTCAAATCGGTGGCGAAACAAATAAAACCATGTTTTTTCATATCAAAATATTAGTCCTTAATAATAATCACGATAGCTACAATAGGCCAAAATACGTATAACTAAACATTTCAAGTGGACGTAAATCCGTTCTTGTTGGTGTCAAAATTAAATAAACTACTATTTTTTTCACAAAACAAGGGATTTCAAATGGACTCAAATGAGGTTATTTTGATGTCAAAATTACACAAAAGCAACTTTTTTTATTTTACATTGTAATAAAAAAATAAAATACAAAAAATACGTATTACATACCAGACCAAATTTCTTAAAATTGAAAAATTGTAAGAATATTAAAAAAAAAAAGAAAAAAAAGCATAAGAGTTCTACAACATTCAGTAAGTAAGACATGTGACCAAAAAAGAATAAAATTTAATACACTGTGAATTAAATCTTTGTTCCTTCATCATCATCTTTATTTTCTTTAGTTTTTTTGATATCTTCGGTTTTTTTCTTTTTTTTTGTTCTTTAAATTATTCATTAAGAATTTTTTGTTTGTTTTGGTCAATCTTTTTTACACCCTGTATTTAATAAGTGACGGATAAATGACTTTGAGTTTTTTTATAAATTATTTATTTAATTGTTAAAGTTATTATCTTACTAGTATCACATTTTCCGCCAATTGAGTCTTGTGACATATTATATCCAGCTGAACAGAAACAACTGTGTTTCTCGCATATTTTTAATTGTCCACATTCGTCGTTGAGAAACCATGAGCATGGAATACAATATTTGCTGACTGTATCCACTTCGCAGTTATTTGAAGCATTTCCAAAAGGGTTTTTTGTTACTGAAATTGTGTTAATTTGGGTCAAAAGTTGACATTCTGCTGATTTATCTAAAGAAATCATTCGAAAACCTGATAAAAGACATTTTAATATTGTACAATTTTTGTCGTGTATTTCTCACCATCTCTGTGACATTGTTTTATATTATCAAATGCCCAAAAGTGTTGATTTTGTTCCGAAAATGTTGAAACAAAAACTGTTACATTTTCATCTTCAATTTTATCTGTGTTAAATCTGATTTCGCGCCAATCACTCTTTCAAAAGTAGAAAATTTGAAAGTAAATACGAGTATATCATTTACCTTTTTGATACTTACTCCATAGTTGTAGGTTTCTTCATTTATTTGTTTCTTTTTTTGGTTCTTTAATTTTAAGGTAATTTTACAAGAGTCACACATTTTTACAAACATGGAAATACACACAGAACCTTCTATAGGTTTGACAACATTTCCAATTTGTGTATCATTTACAGCTTTTGTGGTCTTGAAGTAAGTTACTAATAATTATATATTTTTTTTATTATATCAATCAACATTTAAAATTGCTCTTACATTCATGGAATTTCCAACGACCGACGAAAGAAGTGCTACTAATGTTCAATTTTGTTATGTTGTACAAACTGTCTTCGTCAGTATATGATATTATTTCTTTTAATTTTCCATTATTTTCATAATATTCCAAAGTAAGTTTATTTTTTGATTTGGAGAGTATAACCTGGGTCCAAGCTTTCTCAGTAAGATAGTCAGCTTTAACATCAACCTAAAATAAGTAAATAACAAAATACAAACTTTCATTTGGTTTAATTTAATTCCACAGACGTCAAAGAAAGATTTTGGAAATCTCTATTTTACTTTTAACACATTATTTTTTTGAGGTGAAAACGTACACTACTCCAAAAAATGAAAAGAACAAAAATATTTTATAAATTTTTTGGTGATATTTTAAAGGCTCTATCATCGTCGTATCTAGCTTTTCAAAAAAACATTTTGAAACTTTAAGTCTCTTGTTTTGAGATCTTTTGGCATTTTTTTTTTCTATGCTATGGTTCTCACGCAATCCGAAGTACGATAATAGCACGTGAAAAAAAATCTAATTTTTTTTGTCTTTGTTTTTTGTTCACGGACATGGGGAATTTTTTATTAGTTAAGTCAATGCATAGGCCGGGTAGCATGTTCGTTTAACTTTAATATTTTTTTCATACTGCTTAATTTAAAAAAATAAATAAATAAAATCTTTTGGATTTTTTTAAAATTGGAAAGAAATTTAAGAAACTATCGTCTAATTTTTGAAAAAAAAATCAAAAATAGTTTTTTTGAACTTTTTAATCGATTTTTTTTTCAAATTTAAATAATAACTCATGCAAAATTATAAAAACAAGGGCGAAAAAAATTGTTTCTCTTAATTAATTGTTCCTTTAATTCTTTTGTAAAGCTTTGATCAATCGGTCCGAGAAAACAGTGTGATGGATTGATTTAAATTTTTAAAATAACCTTTTTTCCTCAAATCAATGTTGAGGGTGAAAAAATTTTTTCAAAAAAACATATAAAGGACCTTACAAGACATTTATTCTAGTTTTTAACACCAGCCTTATATTCTCTGTGTGGTCATTGGTTGATGAGATATCGATGATCAAAGAGAAAAAGGATCCTTTTTCATTTAAAGTCAGATTTCTCAGCGACAAATTGACGTAAGGAGAATATGAAAAAATGGTAGTAAAGGTAAATAAACATGCTATCCGGACCATGTTTTGACTTAACTCAAAAAATAATCCTCAGGTCCGTGGACCAAAACTAAAATAAAAAAAAATGATTTTTTTTCTCGGGTTATCATTTAGGATTGCGTAATAATCGTACCAGAGAAAAAAATTGACAAAAAGGTTCAAAACTAGAAACTTAGAAGCGTTAAAATGTTTTTTTTTTAATTGAGATACGACCATTTTTCGATTAGATATAGCCTTTCAAATATCATCAAAAAATTTACGAAATATTTTTGTTCCTTTAATTTTGTGAAGTAGCGTAATTTGTGGAAAATTACTTAAATTATTTCTTAATTCACTATAGATAGTATTTTCTATGTAAATATTAGAACTATGATTAATCAATTAATCACGTAAAAATAAATATTTGATACAAATCGTAAAAATAACTACTTTTTGCAATCTTGTTTTTGTCTTAAGACTTACAGTTACTAAATTTTTACACGTTTTTATTCCTTTTACATCTCTTTTCACTGAGAATGGACCATTTCCCCAACACTTTCGTATGAGTGTTTTATTCGCGTTTGATTCAATTGAAATCCAGTAACAATTTGAATTGTTAGCATTATAATCATCACAGAGGACTATATGCGCTTTTCCTTCAATCCGAATCGACAAGGGCAGAACGAAGCTTTCTTTTAATTTAACTGGGATATCAGTTAAAATTAAATTTTCATCACCTGGATCATAATCAGTTTTGTAGATTTGTAAATCTAAACATTGAGTGTTAGTTAATTCGTTTAAGAAAAGTTAAAATTCGTTTAAGAAAAGTTAAAATACCTTCCCATCGGCGATCTAAAATCACTTTATCGGAAAACGAAGTTTCACAATTCCATCCCAAAGGTAGTTGATCTTTTGTAGACTTGCAACTGACATTCCAATTATAGTGTTTTTCTAAAGGTAAAGGTATGAATCTAGAACCTAAATGTACAAACACAAAAAGTGTTTTTTCTACATATTTCAAAAAACTACTACCTTCCAAATCTATATCCTGGGTTGTATCTTCATTCACCCAAGATAAAGCACTAGAACTATTGGTAATGCAGTAATACTCATCTGGTTTATATCTATTGACAATAAAAAAATCTTGACAATGTGCAAACACAACACAAAAAGGAATAATAAAACTTGTCGCACTGGCAACAGTCATGTTGCAAATTGAGGAAAACGAAAACAAAATTGTGCATGGGTGTGTTTATCAAACTAAATACCAGTGTAAATGTTATAACTTATTTACATTATTTTTTTTTTTTAACTAACTCGTCTAAATGTCTCTTATCTGCGTTTGAATTGTGATAAGATGTCTAACTCATATATATTTTGTCATTTTTTGGTGTTGGGACTAGATTTAAAAATTTTGTATTAACATCACACGACTTTCCTTATCCTAACGACAAATTCAAGTTGTATCTACCTCACTTTTTTAACTTTTTGGTCTTTGCGGCCGATTTTTACCAAATGTTTTATGCTGCGACCCCTTCCTACAAGTAACTTACTACTAAATTTCAAGTTTCTAGCTCTTAACGTTCTCGAGATATGCTGTTTACAGACAGAAAGACACACACACTACCTAATGGCCCAAATCAACTTTTTTGGTGTCTATAATTCGTCCAGAAATGTAAAAATTCGGGTAGGTCGAATTTTAAAAAATACACAATTCCTGTCTAAATGTGTTCGACTTTATTAAAATATAATTACATACAGAACATTTCAACTTTTGACCTCATCAGTCTACACATTCACCGGTTCTTCACCGTCCACTTTTTTATTTTCCACTTTTTCCGATCCACTATGCCACCCCGAATCAATGGTCCCGTCACTGTGACACCCCTGTCCTTGCACCTCTTCATCCGCACTATTTGCCTCTCCGTAGAGCAGCCCCGCCGCATTGCCCCCCAAATTTTGAATCAGGGCTGAAATATTCGACCCGATATTCCTCCGACTTGGTGTGTAATTAAACCCCCCCTTGTTTTGGTTATAATAACTCAACCCTGAAATGGTATTGGTGAGGTTACTCGACTCTTGCACCACTTCATACTGAGCATCAGGGGCGAGAAAATGCTCAGTGAAGGTCTTCTCAGGGAAATAATTGCAACAATCGACGGGGGTTAACCCATCGTCGGTGGTTTCAGTCATGGGGGATTGCACACTACTGAGACTATTCTGGGAGATGTCTTTGGGGAGGAGTTGCAACTCGGGGAGTTCCTCCGAAGGGAGTGGAAACGGCATGCGACTTCGTGTTGACATTTGTCGGTTGCCCATCCGATGGGTTAAATAGTCCTCGTCTTGACCCCCACCATTCGATGGTTCTGGTTCTGGTTTTTGCAACGACATCAAACGCGGTTTCTGGGAGTCGAGAGCTTCATCATAGAGTGATGAATCCTGGCCGTCATTTCGCACCGAAATGTTACAACAACTACTAACATCGGCGAAATACACTTCCGATTCGGACGTTTCCGGTTTTTGTGATGATGGCGTTTCCTGTTTCTGGAAGGCTGCATTTTCGACGCCTTGAAGACGGGGGAGGAACCGACATTCCGGTTTCGTTTTATCTTCAAGCTCTTCATTTTTGGGCTCGTCTTTATTTGGGGTGAAAACATTTTGGACGTTGGTACGATTGGTCTGATTTGTGGATTTAACCGACGCCATGTCAGTTTTTTTCTTCATTTTTCGCACGGGAAGTGTGTGGGAAATCCGGTCCACGCAACTGGAACTATCGGTACTTTCCCCATTGTCATTCACTTGTTGGACTTCGGCTTCGGTGGTATTCTCGTAGTTGTCTTTACAAAGTCTCGTCCTTCTCGAGCCCCGAAATTGGGGGTCCTCGTTCATTTGACAGTGCGATTCGTGCATGTGGTGGTGGATGTGGTGGTACCGTGCGGGGGATTGAAGCGGGCGCCGCGCAGGCGAGTTGGGGTTGGAGTAGGGGGGTGGAGGGCCCCAGACGTAGACTCCACCAATGGGGGGACGGTTGTCGAGGACACTGTACGAGCCCGTGGAACCACTATTGGGGTCTTGGGGGAGGTTTTCACCGGTTCGGGTACTAAAACCGTACTGGCTGTCGGCACTACTGGAACCCACTTGGTACGTGTCGCGGGGGTTCTCCGTCTGGGTATTGGTTCGTGTCCAAGGGAGTCTACGCCAACTCCAGCCACTTGACCGGTTGGTGGTGTCCCCAGGGAGGGGATCCTCGCCGGGATTGGGGGAGTAGAAGTTACCAACACGGCCTGGAGTCCAGAATCTGGGTACCAAAGTTTGGTTATGTTAATCATTAGGAATCAGGATTTGGTACCTGTCAGTTGGATGGTGGGTGTCCCATGGGTACACCTGTGGTCCCATTGGAAGTGGCGGGTATCTACACTCCTCGCAACAACTACAATAAGTACTAGGGGTGATGGGGGGGCCTCTAACCGACCCATGGGTACTCGTAGGGCCACTTGCATGTTGTTGGTAAAACGAACGACATCTCAACTCTAATTGTTCCCAATACATTTTCTTTTTCTCGTGACTTAACAACTGGTAAACTAACATACAGGAAAAAATACAAACTAAAATTCCACTAACTGAGAGTCCAAACATGGCCCTTAGACACGAATAAAGGGCACCGTGGATCACCTCACAGTCGGGTGTTGAGTTAAAGACAAACTTAATTTCTGGAAAGGGAGTTTTAAAATCGGGATTTCCCCCAATTTAGGGACTTACCATCGTCTGCATGGACGTGTGATTCCAACAACACTGAATAACAAATACAGGTACGAGTTTTTTGAGTGTAGACACACTCTCGAAGTGTTTGGAGTCGGTTCATGTGAATCACTGTGGTTGTGATCGTGACTAGGACACAAGTCAGGGCACAAACCAAACAACACAAACCGCACACTTTGATCTGGAAGAAAATGTGTAATCGGAGGGGGAAACACCGGAAAGTGGCTTACCAAATAACTATATCGATTTCTTCGTCTGGCTAGACTCATCACACAAAGACCGGTTAAAATCAACTAAAAAAAATATTTTAAATTAACAAACAAGTCACAAAGAGTGTCAAATTACCATAGTGGCAGGCACAAAAGTAGGTATTGTTTCGAAGTAACCTAAAGTGGAAGTATAGGAGCGCAGAAGGAAGTAGACAGCTAGAAACATCGTCCCCAGGATGGTGGCCAAGCCCCCACAAGCGCAGCACCAGAAGACGTATTTGCGGACGCCACTGTTGCTGGGATTCGCTGAAAATGGGTTTGATTGTGTTGGTTTTTGGTGTTATGGGGCTTACCATGAGGTACCGGATGGGGAAACGGTTGTATGGTTGGTGGTATGTGGTATTGTACCACCTGCATGACCGGATAACCGTGCATTGTGGTGTTTGCACTTTATTTTTGCACAAAAACAATCATATTTTTTAAGGATTGTTTGTTTTTGGAAACTGAGGGAGAATGACAAGGCGAATCATGCGTTAACGGCGCTCTTTCGTTGCGTCGCCATAGAGACGTCGCGACGCCCTTTCTCTCTAATAGTCAATAACTCACACGCTGAATCTTGGGATGTTGGAGAAAGTGGTCTTTGAACCAGAAATGTCAGTTTTGTCATTGAAAAAAACTATTCGTTGTAGATAATTTTAACAGCTGGAAACCTCATATTTTTTTTAATTTTCTAGTAAACCGTTTTTTCTACATTTTTGTGTTTAATTAATTAAAAAAATAATCGATTTGCTTCAATTCCACTGAAGGAAGAATAAAATTTTGTCAATTATTCAACAGATTTTAAGAATACTTTTTAGGAATAATTATTGTTATTTAATAACTTAAATATTCTCGAAAATAATTCCAAATTTGAATTTATTCTATTAATTGAATGAATCTTAAGATTAGAAAATCTTATTAGAGAAATTTTTTTGCAAAACAAATTTTTTTAACATTTGTAAGTTTCTGAATTAAAATTTTTAATATTAAAACACTACAAACACAAACAAAAACAAAAAACAGTTGAAACCTACAATAAAATAACTAATTAAACTAAAATTTGAGAAAAAAAGGCCAAAATTACTTTACATTTTAAGAATTAGAATCATGATTCTTATGTGATTTTTGTGTCCAATAACCATTTGTTTGACATTTTTTGTATTTATTTTTATAATTAAAAAAAAACATTAATCAATTTTCTTTAAATGCGCCGAAAAACATTTTTTTGTGAATTATTCGACAAATTTTAAAAATACTTTTTGGCAATAATTGCTATTTAAAAACTCAAAAATTCAATTTAAAATTTTTGCTTATTAAGATTTTGTTGAATTTTGAAAGCTCGAATTACCTGGAAGAATTCCCAAAAATTATCCTAAATTTGAATTTAATTAATTAATTAAATGAATTTTAGGTTAGAAAATAATTTTCTTAATCTTTAAACACGACTAAATCAAAAAAATTCATTTTTAGAAAACGAAAACACCGAAAATCTACACTAAACGAAGAAATTAAACTAAAATTTTGAAAAAAAAAAATACAAAAAGTCGAAAATTTAACTGTCGAAATCATAATTCTTTTGTGATTTTATTCTTAGTAAAGCAGTTTTTTTCTCACTTTCTTCGATTTTTTTTCTTAATTAAAAAAAATAATTAAATGATTTTTTTCAACTCCGCTGAAAAATGTTTTATAATGCTTTGTGAATGACTCCACAGATTTTAACAATACTTTTTAGAAATAAGTGCTATTTAAAAACTCAAAAATTCAATTTAAAATTTATACTAAAAGTTTCGCTAAATTTTGAAAGCTTGAATTCCTGAAAATCATACTAAATTTGAATTTAATTAATTAATTAAATGAATTTTACATTAATAAATCTAACTTGAAGGAATTTTGTGCAAGACAAAGTTTTTTAACATTTGCAAGATTCTAAATTAATTTTCTTAATTTTTAAACACGACTAAATCAAAAAAAGCGAAAATCTACAATAAACGAAATAATCAAACTAAAATTAAAAAAAAAAGACAAAAAGTCGAAATTTACTCGTCGTAGAACACTTTAACTGTCGGAATCATGATTTTATTTCTAGTAAAGCAGTTTTTTTCCACTTTTTTCGATTTACTTCTTAATTAAAAAAAAAAAAAACAATTAATCGATTTTTTTCAACTCCACTGAAGAATGTTTTATAAAGCTTTGCGAATTTCTTGACTGATTTTAACAATACTTTTTAGGAATAATTGATATTTAAAAACGAAAAATTCAATTTCAAATTTTTACTCGTTGAATTTTAAAAGCTCATATTACCTGAAATTCCCGAGAATCATCCTAAATTTGAAATTAATTAATTCATTAATTAAATGAATTTTACGATTCGAAAACATTGAAGGAATTTTTTGTTTTTAACATTTCCAATATTTTAAATTAGTTAAAAAAATGTCAAAAATCTGTCCAAGCTGTAGGTAAAATTTGACAAAAATTGTTTTCGAAAACCAAGAGAAATCCGCAATTTATATTTTTGAAGTAGTTTTCAAAATTTTTGATTTTCTAGTTTTAAAGAAACAGGGGAAGCCGGGGAAAAGTGGACTTCTATACGTTGAAAAATTATAAATAATAAAAAAAAACTATTTTCAAAATTACTTTTACTTGATTTTTCGATGATTTTGGAATTTCAATGTCGTCGTGAAACAGACGAAAGTCGAACACAGTTTTTTATGTTACTATTTTGATGTGTGATTATTCAAAAAATCTTTCTCAAAATCAGAATTCTGACGTAACTGTATTTATATTTTTGAAAGAAGGAAAGATTTCTAATTTTTTGATTTTCGGGTTTGAAAAAACAATTAGGGGAAGCCGGGTAAAAGTAGACTTTTGCGATGTTTCTTACACGCTTAAAAAACAGTTCTAAAATTCCAAGGTCATTCAAAATTGTTACGTTTCAATTTATAGCAAAACTCCGTTTTTTTTGGAACAATTATGCCTTTCCAAGCCTGCTTATTATTTCGATTCCAGTTTATTTTCCCAAAAACATCCACTTCTGGTAATTATAAGACCGAACAAGTCTGTTTTTTGCCCACTTCCCACCTATTCTCCAGCCATACAACCGTCAATTACCCCTCCCCAAGAACTTACAACTCCTAATTCTGTGTCTGGACCCCATCGTCCCCTCCATCCGCGGCCTCGGTGGCGGCCTGGGGGGCAGCGCCGGCGGTAGATTGGACACCTCGATCCTGTCATCGTCCAGTTTCCGTCCTTGGGGTTCGGCTTCGACGATGACGTCGGCGTCCTCCTGCAGGTGGCAGGTGCACGTCGATGGGGCGATTTTGTGGGCGGTCTTTGGCGATGCGTGGACGTGGACATGGACCGACTGGTTGATGGGGTGGATGTGGTTGGTGTTGGCGGGGACATGGCTGAGACTGATGATGTTGTGGTGGTGGGTGGATTTGGGGATGCAGTGGCTGTGGTGGAGGTCGGTTTTGGACGAGTCGAGGGGCTTGTCGGTGCAGGGGCAGTGGCTGAGGAGGCCGTGGTCGCTGGTCTCGCTAGACTGGTAGGTGTGGTCGGGGGACTTTGGCGGGTCGGGCGATGGGGACGACATGGTCGATGGGGGGTTTACATGGCTGGTGGTGACTAAAAAAAGACATTTTGTTTTTGAAGCGGAAAATCAGAATTCTATTTCGTGAAATGCACCAACGACTTTTACTTTGCTATTAGTTACACATGTTTTTGACCTTTTCTGGATTTACATATTCGCTTATCAACAAGGAAATCATTACTTTTAACCTTCAGCCCTCAAAAATGTACTTATGAAATCGTTTTGTTTCTACTTTTAATAAAAGGACTCAGAAAATCAAAAAGAAATTTTTTAAAATGGTTAATTTTTGATGGTTTGGTAATAATATTTGAATTTTTAAACATTTTGTGAGGTCAATTTTTACAAGAAATGAAAGATTTTTTTTATTCTGATACTACACAATTGAATTTTACGTTTTTTCGAAACATGATACTTTAGGTATTTTTTAAGTGATAACATTTTGATGGAAAAAAAGTTATACGAAAATGAAGACAATTATTTAAAAAAATTGTAAAAAATTATATGTATGTAAAATCAAAAATAACTCATTGTAGAGTATTTTATATACTTTTTCTGTGATTTTACGTCTAGAAAACCTTTTTTTTGTAGTTTTTGTGTTTTTCTTAAACGAATTATTCGTTTTTTTTAACTCCAGTTTTGTGAACTACCGAAATTTTGAATTCGTTTTAAAACAACAAAAAAAAACTTTCT